ATTCATAACATCACAATCATCTTTTTTTTCATCCGCCTACATCCACGCCATTTTAAAACAACCCCGTTTTTTTAAAGTTTTTTTTCTTCTCTTTTTTTGTTTAAATTTTATACAGGAGAAGGGGGTTTCTGCCCATTGCTCCCGGGATTTTAAATCGCCTATCCCACACGCTTTGGGTTACGGGGGGGAAAGATTCCCTTTTTTCCCCTTCCCCATGGACAAAAGAAGAAAAAAAAAAAGGGGGGGGGGGGGAAAAAAAAACCCTAAATTTTAGAAAAAAGAGAAAAACCTGATGGGATGTATATATAAAATATTTTCATGTGCCGTGTCTGTGAATGTGACCAAAATGTAAGTAGGAGAGCAAGATATCCCCCGTTATCTTTCCCTGTTTTTTGGGGGAGAAAAGAAAACCCGGAAACCTACCATCATGCAAAACAGTTACAGGTTTTTTTTTTCACAGTTTTTTTTTGGCAGGGCGGTAGTAATTTCCCCGGGTGGTTGCTGTTACCCAAACCCACACCTACATATATTATATATATATATTATCTATATATTTTACTATAATTAAAATATATATATATTTTAAAATTTATATATATATTTTTGTAATATTATTTTTAAAATATATATAAAATAAAATAGACAGTGGACCCCCCCCTTAGGGAAATTAAAACCGTTCTTGAGAAACTCATCGTAAGCCGAAATTATCGAAAAGGGGAATTTTTTTCCCCATAAAAATAATTTGGGAAAACAAATTAATCCTGCCCAAAACACCCCAAAATATGAAAAAAAAAAAATTTTCTACATGAAATTTAATTTTAATACACCAAAAATGAAAAAAAACATGCACAATTACTACTAAACTAAGAAAGAAAATACATGACACTTTCCTTTATTGAAGATCTGGGGGATTTTGGGAAAATTTATGGGAAGGGGGGGGAAAGGGGGGTGGGGGAAACTGTTATTGGGTTTTGACGGGGTTTTCCCCTTTCCCTTAAAGGCTTTTAGGTATCAAGTCCTTTTCCGGGTTATTTCCCCTTTTTTTAATGCCACAGGACCAGCTTTAGAGTCCTGGGTTCTGTCGTTTCAAAAAATCTGTCCATTTGAGGTCGGTTTCCCCCCGTTCCCTTTTAAGGGCTTTCCAAAATGGGCCATAACAGTGCCCTTGTAAAAGTCACCGCATGGCTTCAGTAGCTTTTGTCAGGGTTTATTTTCATCCGAAAAGTTTGCAGTTTTTAAAACCCCCTTTGCACACATTTCCTTAATCTTTGAAAATAGGGGAACTTTCCCCGATTTTTTCTCTCCCCTCCTCTGAAACATTTTTCCCCGGGCTGGCCTCTTGCTGGGTTTAAAGGATGATCTTGCAGCTTTTAGTGGGTTTGGGTTTTTCATCATCAAATTTTCCACAAAATCTTCCCCATCCTCCCCACTAACCTCCAACCCCATAACTTTCCCAATGCCACATTAGATTCCACAACTGGCATAGGCTCCTGAGGATTAGCACCAAACACTTCAAAATTCATTTCTTCTACACATTGTCCCACAGGGAAGTGTCCTTGGCCCTCTTCTCTTTCTCCTATACATAAATGACCTTCCAAATGCTTTGCAATTACTCAAACCCACACTATTTGCAGATGACACTACATACGTCTTCTCTCACCCGAGCCCAGTCACGCTAGCCAATACTGTAAATACCGAATTGCAGAAAATATCTACCTGGATGAGGACTAACAAACTTACACTAAACATTGACAAAACCTACTTCATTCAGTTTGGTAACAGAGCTACAGATGTCCCTCTTAACATAATGATAAACGGATCACCTATCACAAAGCTAACAGAGGGAAAATTCTTAGGAATCCACCTTGATAATAGACTCAAATTTCATACACATATACAACAAATTTCTAAGAAAATTTCCAAGACTGTAGGCATACTATCGAAGATACGGTACTATGTTCCACAGTCAGCCCTCCTGGCCCTATATCACTCTCTTATTTACCCCTATCTCACCTATGGAATTTGTGCATGGGGCTCAACAACAATTAACCATCTCATAAGATAAGATAAGATAAGATTTCGTTCGGATTTTTAACCCCGGAGGGTTAGCCACCGAGGATAACCCAAGAAAGTCAGTGCGTCATCGAGGACTGTCTAACTTATTTCCATTGGGGTCCTTAATCTTGTCCCCCAGGATGCGACCCACACCAGTCGACTAACACCCAGGTACCTATTTGCTGCTAGGTGAACAGGACAACATGTGTAAGGAAACGTGTCAAATGTTTCCACCCGCCGGGAATCGAACCCGGGCCCTCCGTGTGTGAAGCGGGAGCTTTAGCCACCAGACCACCGGGTCACAGCCACCAGACCACCGGGTCACTAATTACCCAACAAAAGGCTGCAATTAGAATGATAACAAATTCTCACTACAGGCAGCACACTCCACCAATATTCAATACACTAAACCTACTCACCATACAAAACATCCATACTTATTACTGCGCCTATTACATACATAGAACACTTAACTCTGATATTAACCCTCCCCTCAAACATCTCCTTGCCAACCTCAACAGAACACATGACCATAACACAAGGCACAGATCACTCTTTGATGTTCCTCGTGTCCATCTCACACTATGCAAAAACTCAATGCACATAAAAGGCCCTAAAATCTGGAATTCATTACCTGTAAATATAAAAGAAACACTACCTGTTTATAAATTCAAGTCTCTTCTCAAAGATCACTTACTCACCCAAAACCAAATAAATACTGAATAACTGAACCTTATAAATTGTATATCTTAAATGTTTCTCACAATTATATCACATAAATGTTAAACCATGAGCGTGTTTGATAGGAGTGAATGGAGACAAATGGTTTTTAATACTTGACGTGCTGTTGGAGTGTGAGCAAAGTAACATTTATGAAGGGATTCAGGGAAACCGGCAGGCCGGACTTGAGTCCTGGAGATGGGAAGTACAGTGACTGCACTCTGAAGGAGGGGTGTTAATGTTGCAGTTTAAAAACTGTAGTGTAAAGCACCCTTCTGGCAAGACAGTGATGGAGTGAATGATGGTGAAAGTTTTTCTTTTTCGGGCCACCCTGCCTTGGTGGGAATCGGCCAGTGTGATAATAAAAAAAAAATAATAAATGTTAAACCTAAAACCGAATCTAACTTTATTATTTTTTAAATACACTACCTAACAGAATACTTCATATGACTGATTGTACAACATTGCATGCAACCATATGACCTGTCTTTGTAATACTCACTTGTGCTTTATAGTAATCTGTTTACATTAATGTTTTATCACTGATTTCATCATTGCTTAGTTAATCTTAAGTTAATTTTAAGCCAGCCCGTAATGCTATGCATAGTATAAGTGGTTTTGGCATGCTGCTCTTATCTGTATTTTTTTGTACCTCTGTATGTGTGCTCAAATTGTTAATAAATAAATAAATAAATAAATTGTGGCCACAGTTTCTTTCAAGCAGAGTTCAAGGTCCTCTTAGTCACTCCCTCCAAAACCTTACCTATAAGGTTTACACAACTGAGGATGCTAAAGTGATCTTTCCAAAACTCTCTTAGAGTCAATCGAGTGTCTGAGGTCACTTCAAAGCACTTTTGAAACAGCTTTTTTGTAGAGTTTTTTTAAGTTTGAAATGAACTGCTGGTCCATGGGCTGCAGGAGAGGAGTGGTATTAGGAGGAAAAAACTTGACTTTAATGAAGCTCATGTCCCTAGGTATATATATATATATATATATATATGTCGTGCCGAATAGGCAGAACTTGCGATCTTGGCTTAAATGGCAACGCTCATCTTGCCATATAGGACAAGCGTAAATTTGTGTATGCAATAATTTCGCCAAAATCATTCTGAACCTAAAGAAAATAATATATTTCATTGTGTTTGTTTAGTATTAAATTACTGTAAACAAATCTAAAATATATTTAGTTGGGTTAGACTAAAATAAATTGCTCTTGTTATAACAAGGTTAGGTAAGTTTTCTAAGTTTCTTTTGGTGCAAAATTAAAAAAATTGACATTAACATTAATGAAAAAAATATATCTTTAAACGTATCAGAGAAAATTTTGGAAAGGACTTAATTTTAAATGAGTTCTTGCTACTTGACCAGTTTTACATATTCGGCACGACATATATATATATTATATATATATATATATATATATATATATATATATATATATAATATATATATATATATATATATAACACACACCACACACACACACACACACACACACACACACACACACACACACACACACACACACACACCTACCATCCGACTTACGACCGAGTTTGGTTCCGAGAAACCGGTCGTAAGTCGAAATGGTCGTAAGTTGAACTTTACTGCTGAATATCAACAAAACATTTTTGTAATTACTTTATTTTATTGTTTTATTTTGGTATTTCATGTTTTACTTTACTTTTTATGTTGTTAGTACTGTATTTTATACTGTAAGGTTTAGGATAAACACTGTGTACAACACAAATAGTTGTTTATTTCCCAGAAATTTGGCATAAGAAAACACGGTCGTAAGTCGAGTGGTCGTAAGTCGAGCAGGTCGTAAGTCGGATGGTAGGTGTATATATATATATATGTGTGTGTGTGTGTATGCATATATATATATATATATACGTATAATCTATTTTTTTACGTTTCTTGTTTTTTTAATGCAATATGTTGAACTGATATGTGGCTAGGATTAACAGATTGGTACATAAGAGTATAGGAAAGGAGCACTGCAGCAAGCCTACTATCCCAAGCTAGTCACGTCCAAGTCACACCCACTTAAAAAGGAAGGAACACTGTTGTAGGCCTTCTAGCTCATGCTAGGCAGGTCCAAGTCACACCCACCGTCATCCACTCATGTACTTGTCTAACCCATTTTTAAAGCTACCATTCGGTCAGTTAAGAAGACTTACTAGAATATTGTGGCCAGTTTTAACGAGTGTCTCCTCCCACAGGTACAGCTCCTCACCCAAGCCCAAGTCATGTTTAGTGCAACGCGGGGAGTCTCCAGGATCAGTCACAGTGTCACACCACACTCACAGCAACTCCAGAACACACCACCACGAGTCAGCCATACCCAAGATGACGCACCAGCACAGAACAGGGTACCTCCATGTCTTAATCTTAGTTAATTGGAATTTTCACTAGTGAATTTGCATGATTTATTATGCATTATTCCAAATAAATTTGTCACACAAATCTGAAGGTAGCAATGTTATGGTAGTTAAGAGTGCATAACAGTCTAATTGTATATTTTTTGCATTATATTTCTGATTCCAGTATCAAGTAATCATATTAATCAATTCATTAATAAAGATGCATATATGATACAAGATAATTATTTTGCATATATGATACAAGATAATTATTTTGCATATATGATACAAGATAATTATTTTGGTAAGTCACTTATAATATTTGTAAGTTAACAATATAACTCTGCATAATGCTTTCATGTGCAGTCATCTTGCATCACAAGGAGTGCTACCTGCCAGTCACATAAGTGTGAAACAAACATAGATAGTAGACAGCAACCATCCAGGGAGATACTGCCCTCCTCTCTCTCGTGAATGTGAAAGGAAAACCGATGAAAATACAACACTGAAGGGATTGCTGTTTTTGAACATAAGAAAGGAAGAACACTACAGTAGGCCTGTTGGCCCATACTGGGCAGGTCCTTTACAAATCTAACCCACTAACAGAATATTTGTCCAACCCATTTACAGTGCTACCCTAACAATAAGCTTTGATAAATCTATTTACTCATGTGCAAGTGCCACTCCAATCCAACCCCTCTCATTCATGTAATTATTCAACTTAAACTTGAAACTACCCAAGGTTTTAGCTTCAGTCACCCTACTAGGCAGACTGTTCCACTCATCAACTATCCTGTTTCCAGACCAATACTTTCCTATAACCTTTCTAAATCTAAACTTATCTAATTTGAATCCATTTTTGCAGGTTCTGTCTCTTGAAGGTATATCTTTGACTTTATATCCCCTTTGTTAATACCCATCTAACACTTATACACTACGATTATGTCTCCCCCTCATTCTTCGTCTTACAAGTGAATGTAATTTAAGGGACTTCAATCTTTCGTCATACGGAAGATTTATAATGCTATGTATTAATTTTATCATTATTCGTTGAATATTTTCTAATGAATTTATATTCATTCTATAATATGGTAACCAGAACTGAGCTGCGTAATCTAGGTGAGGCCTTACTAATGATGTACAAAGCTGTAGTATAACCACTGGACTTCTGTTACTTACGCTTCTTGATGTAAATCTCAGTAATCTGTTTGCCTTGTTATGTACGCTGAGGCATTGCTTTCTTGGCTTAAGGTTGCTGCTCATCATAACCCCAAGTCCTTTTCGCAGTCTGTATGCTATGGATGTGATGAATGGTTTTGAAAACCGACAAGTTGAAGATTGAGACACTTATGCAACATATGGGAATCTTTATTGAGGAAACGTTTCACCACACAGTGGCTTCATCAGTCCAATGCAAAGCAGAAAGGTGTAAGGGGAGGAGTGTGAGGTAATCAGTCCCTCAGCCTGGGGTCGATGTGTTCAATCCATCAATCTTATAGAATGTACAGCATAGGGCCGTAGACATGGCTTATATACTGTAGCCAGGTGAGGCGAAGCAGGAGGAGGCGGGATCGTAGTGGTACCATCCATTAGTCGAAGTAGGTCTTTGACTAGTGGATGGTACCACTATGATCCCGCCTCCTCCTGCTTCACCTCACCTGACTAAAGTATATAAGCCATGTCTACTGCCCTATGCTGTACCCACACTACACATATCACGACAGCATTGCTTCACAGCAGACGTAGACCACACTTCACGATGCACTTCTCAAACAGGGTAAAAATCAAAGCAGAGAGTGGGACAGTCAATGACTCATCCAAGCTAGCACTTGCAGCTGTCGTCAGTGGCAGACTGCAAGTCAAGTTTAATGCGATTCTGTCGCTCAAAGAGGCCTTCGTTGTCATCTGTACTGATGACACCAAGGCTGAAAAACTCATTACCACCACTGCTACAACCACGCTACGAGATCAGGGATTTATTGTCTTGACTTCCCCAGCTCTGAGGGCCAGGAGAACTGTGTTCCTCAAGAGACTTGACAGGCTCATCACTGCCCAGGCTACCGAAGAAATCAAGTCGTCCATTGAAGCACAGAACCCTTGGGTCAAGGTGGAATTCATTACCAAAATACCCAATGCCTCCTCCATGCTGAGGGTCACCTTCAGTGACGTCAACATGGCAGCCAGAGCTCTCGCTGAGGGACTGGCTATTCTCTACTTCCACATCAATCCAGCCTTCATCGAAGCAGAAAAATTCCATCAAATTCCACAGTGTTCCAACTGTTACCCATACCTACATACCACCAAAGACTACCCTGCCAAGAATGAGAAGTTCTGCTCCACCTGCAGCCAAGAAGGTCATGACTTCAAGACGTGCACTATTGCCTCTCCACTTAAATGCTTGAACTGCAAGAATGATCACCATACTCTTGCTGCCAAGTGCCCAACTAGACAAGATATACTTAAGAAACAACTCCAACAACAAAAAAGCCCACTGCACAAGCTAGACTACATATGCTGTTATTACCAAGCTTCAAGCAGATACTACCAAGATTCTTCAAGCCACACAAGCTGCATCTACCACTTCTTCACCAGCTTTTGCTGGCGACTCCACCAATATTCTTTACTGCATCATGTATGCTCATGTGCAGAATGTAGCTGAACCTGGTTCCTTCAACACCACCATCAATGAACTCTTCAAGCTCAACAACATACCTGGTTTCATATTCCCTGCATCTCCACCTTCCACAGAGATCATAAAATCCACTGCAAATGTTGCCAACAATACCGCTGCTCCACTGCTACCACACCTTCCTCCCGACACAGAGATGGACCAATCAGAGACCACTGAGATGCCGACCGATTCCACCATTGAGAGTCCACCAGTACCTGCTTCCACCTCCGTCACAACGGACCAATCAGATGCCTCACCTCAATCGTCTCAGCCACCATCCAAGAAGATTAAAATACAAGAGCCTTGGGATGCATCCCTATGTACTACTGCCACTCCTTCACAAGAAGTCCAGTTCTTGCTGGTGTATACTTCTACACAACCAACCAGAATTAGAACGCAATGTACACTCCAGAAATTATTCAACGCCTCCACAATGGGACAGTCAAGTTCACCTGCGGCTCAAGTCGATCATTCACCACTGAATCCCTGATCAACCTACTCTCAAAAAGTCATCGCTTTGTGGCACTCAACTACACACAAGGAAGAAATTCAGGACTCTCCAGAATGGGGCTGCCAAAGACTGTGCCCTCACCTAGAAGGACTGTCAATGATCAATCACCGAGAAGAGAAATTTCCCCAGCACTTTGCTGCCTGCTAAAGCTGGTGTGTGGCTCCAAAATGAACCCTGTAATTGCTGCCTCCTCCCTCCTATGCTGGTGAAGATGCTAAATGAGAAGACACTTCCCACTTGGGGACTCACCACAAGACAGAAGAAGAAGTCACCCTTCAACCGGAGGGCCCCAAGAATGAATACAGGAGAAAGAAGATGAACGACACCCCCTTGCCCGGGAGGCCACTGCCGGGTCGGCATCTGGAGAAGACCCGGGCCGGAAGTACCGGCAAACCTACAACAACAACAACAACAACAACCTATGCTGTACATTCTATAAGATCGATGGACTGAACACATCGACTCCAGGCTGAGGGAATGATTACCTCACACTCCTCCTCTCCTTGCACCTTTCTGCTTTGTATTGGATTGATGAAGCCACTGTGTGGCAAAACGTTTCCTCAATAAAGATTCCCATATGTTGCATAAGTGTCTCGATCTACATCATGCTAGGGATATTCCCGAGCTTCAGAACTTTGCATATATTTACATTGAACTGCATCTACCACTTTTCTGACTACGAATTGAGTTTGTCTAAATCCTCCTGAAGTTCCATGACATCTACGTTTGAATCGATTATCCTACCTATCTTTGTGTCATCAGCGAATTTGCTTACATCACTAGTAATTCCCACGTCAAGGTTATTGATATATACAAACAACAACAGGCCTAAAACTGATTCCTGTGGAACACCACTTGTTACAGATCCCCAGTCAGGTTTAACCCCATTTATGGTATAAACCTTGGTAACAAATACCAACAAGTTGGTTTAGAAAGACACGTAAGCAAACACTATGACTTATTAGAAAACGTTTCTGTCCTGGGACCTTGATCAAGGTCCCAGGACCGAAACATTTTCTAATAAATATGTCAGTGTTTGCTTACGTGTTTTTCTAAACCAACCCCATTTATGCACACTTTCTGGCTTTCGTGATCTGTGACTCGATCCATGACAACACCTTTCCCCCAATGCCATGAGCTGCCACTTTCTTCAACAGTCTCTGGTGTAGTACTCTATCAAAAGCCTTACTAAAATCCAAATAAACAATATCAAATTCATTATCGTGATCATCAGCCTCAGAAGCTTTACTGAAGCAAGTTAGTAAATTAGGCAGGAACGGCCCCTCGTGAATCCATGCTGAGTATCATTAATCAAATTATGCTCATCAAGATGGTTTCTTATAATATCAACCACAGCTGACTCTAGTAATTTGCCTACAATTGAGGTCAGGCTTATTGGGTGGTAATTTGACAGTAATGACTTGTCCCCTGCTTTTAAAAATAGGAATTACATTGGCCCATCTTCCACATAACAAACACTACACCTGTTTGAAGAGATATATTAAAAATATTAGTCAGTGGTTCACAAAGTTCCATTTTTCACTCCTGAAGATCCCTTGAAAAATGCTCATAGGGCCTGGGGATTGATTTTGCTTCAATCGGTCTATCTGTTTGGCAGCCATTTCACTAGTGGCTGTGGCATTTCATAATTTATCTTCTTCAGGCCCACTACGAAAATTAATTATAGGGATATTATTAGTGGCTTCCTGTGTGAAAACCGAGATAAAATAATTATTAAAAATCGAGCACATTTCATTCTCCTTGTCAGTAAGATGCCCAGAGTTATTTTTAAAGGAACCTATTTTTTTTCCAACTTTTGTTCTATAA